GAGCCCGGAGCCGGAGCCGCCGCCGCCGCCCCCCGAGCCCAGCATGGTGATGGCCGAGCCCCGGCGGCCCCCGGCGCTGCTGCCCCGCGGGCTCGGGCCCGTCCGCGTCGGCTTCTACGACATCGAGGGCACGCTGGGCAAGGGCAACTTCGCGGTGGTGAAGCTGGCGCGGCACCGCATCACCCGCAGCGAGGTGGGCACGGCGCGGGGGGCGCGGCGGGGCCGCGGGGGCTGCGCGGGGCCGGCGCCGCCGAGCGAGCTCCGAGCCGCTTTTGTCCCTTCCGGCACCTCCCGCGGGGACACGGACCGCGGGCTCCCGCTGCCGCGGGGGGGGTTCTCCCGCTTCGCATCCTCACGGGAAGGGCAGGACGCCTCCGAGGCCGCGGGGGGATGTCACCCGTGGGGTGCCACCCGTGGGGTGTCACTGCCCTACCCGGGATGCCAGCACGAAGATGGCATCCCCCGGGATGTCACCCCCGGGGTGGTGGCGTCGCTGGCGGGGTGGCACCCCCGGGGTGGCGGGATGGCACCCCAAGGATGCTCCGGCGCTGCTGGAGCGGCACTTTCTGCTCCCTGGGAAGGGTCAAAGCTTGTGCTGCGCCTGCCGTCGTGCCCCGGGTGTTTTGGGCTTTCCTGACCTGGGCAATGCTGGCTTACGGGGTTCGGCAGAGGAACTTGTGTGTCTGTGTGTGTGTGTGTGCCGAATTCTTCAGCGCCGCATCCTGCAAGTTCTCCAAATCCAACCATTTTTAGCCTCTTTGTTTAACCGCCCCCGTGTATTACCGGGTGATTATTGTTAATACCTGGTGCTTTACCTACAACAAGAATGATTGTCAGTCTGCCTGGGTAAAAATGGATGGGTTTTCATTTTAAAAAAAAAAAAAAAAAAAAAAAAAAAAAAAAAAAAAGAAGGAGGTATTTGATGAGAGTAATGGCTCTGGAGGATCAGCTTCCTCTTCTGCGTTGTTTTAGGTAGTTTTAGTTGCTACACCTAGAGGTGAGCTTTTTGTAAGGCTCCCTTCTGGTCGCTTTCATTGTTGGCTGAAGAAGAGGTTCCTGCGCTGCTCTGTACTTGACAAAAGTCATTAAAACATTAAAACACTGTCCCAAGCGCAGGTATTCATCACCGTGAGCTCGTGGGGGAAAAATCATCCCTTAAGGAACGGGAACATTCCTGAAATCCGGAGCTCAGCTGAGGACAGCAGAGCCCTGGTGCTGACAGGGCTGTGATTGATGAGCTCCGCACCGCAGGGCTTGAAAGGAGCTTCTCCTCTTGCCTCATTTCTCCAGTTCATCACAAACCCGGTTCTTTCTGAGCCCTTCTTGCTCCTGCTGAAGAGCCGAGCAGTGCCAGCGTTCCCTTCCCAAGTTTGGTGCCATGTGCCAGAATTGCAAACGCTCCTCTTGAAGATGCTCGCTTGTCCTTGCTCTTCAGCCCTCATTTCTTTGGCAGGCTTTGTGATGGAGATGAAAACTTTAATCCTCGTTTTTGTTGTCGTTTTGGAAAGCCCGTTTCTTTAGCGTTGTTGGAAATAACAAAGGTTACAGAAAGCACAGAGCTTAGAAAGCTCCCCGATTCCTGGGTGATTCTTTCATCTGTGTCCTAAGGAACTGCTCAATTCTCTTAGTCTTAAATTTTTTTTTAACCAGCTTTTCTGTCCAGTCTGCAGCCTTTTTATTTTCCGTGGGATTTTTACAGCAAATTTGCCTGTGCTGGAGGATTTTTTTTTTGTCAAGGTCTTTGATTTTTTGAGTCAGCTCTGACTTCTGCAGTGAGAGATGCAAGAGCGTTTTTCTGGAACTGAATTGCTGAGTTGGTTGCTGGAAGTATTTACACAATCTTTGAGGAAGGGGAACCCTGTTAAGATCACTTCTGGTGATGTCAGAGGAAATTAATTCCAGCCAAATACTCTTTGGAATAAGCACTTCCAGTTTGGAGCAGCTCACCTGATTGTTGGATCCCTGAGCACACACAGAGTGGAAATCCTGCTTGTTAATGACTCCAGCCCGAAGGGTTTGCATATTTCAAGCTTCTTCTAAACTCTTGCTTAAGTTCCAGTGGAAGAATATTCAGTTTTTAGGTGCTGGGAGGGCTGTGCTGGCCTGTGCTGCAGGAGGATGCTGTGATGCTGCTGAGATTTGCTCAAAAATCCTGTTTCAAAAGGATTCCCTGTCAAAGTTCATCCTGAATCTCCTGATTTGAACCCTTTAGATTCAGAACCTGTTTGTTGCTGGGATTTTCTAGCACTGCCACTTTGAAATTATGTCTTACATGTTTTTGACCTATAAAGTATTTGCTTTTTTTTTTAACACAACTCTGCCTAGCCAATAACCATCAAATTAAAAAAGATGGGCCCTTATTACCTTGTTATGGATTGTGCACAATCCATCCTGTCTATGGAAAGACTACAGATGAGAAGATAAAATTGTTGCCATAAATTGTAAGCAGAGGTGGAAATGAAATGAAAGCAGCCATGAAGCAGGAGAACAACACAGGGTGTGTGCAAACAGAATCAGAAATCGTAATTTGAATTAATGCAAGTCCTAAACAACCATACAGAAGTGTGAAAGTTGGAGAAAATGGGGGGATTAAGAAAGATACTAAGTGGTAAAAGTATCAGTAATAAATAAATAAATAAATTAAAGATAGAATAGGGGTGTTGGCTGACCCTTTTTACTGCCAGTCCACCCAGGGGGGAATTAATAAAGATATTAGACAATAAAGATATCAGGAATAAATAAATTAAATAAAGTTATGTGGGAATAGAGGTGCTGGCTGACCCTTTTTCTGCCAGTCCACCCGGGGGGGATTAATAAAGATATTAGGTGATAAAGATATGAGGAATAAATAAATTAATTAAAGATATTAGGAATTGGGGTGCTGGCTGACCCTTTTTACTGCCAGTCTATCCAGGGGGGGATTAATAAAGATATTAAGTGATAAAGATATCAGGAATAAATATATTAATTAAAGATATTAGGAATTGGGGTGCTGGCTGACCCTTTTTTCTGCCAGTCCACCCAGGGGTGGCTGGACCTGACCTTTGCTTGGCTTTTTTGGGTGTTTGGTGCCATTTGAGTGGAGGCCACGTGGCTTTTTCCTGCCACGCTATTAATAAAGATATTAAGTGATAAAGACATCAGGAATAAATAAATTAATTAAATATATTAGGAATAGAGGTGCTGGCTGACCCTTTTTTCTGCCAGTCCACCCAGGGGTGGCTGGACCTGACCTTTGCTTGGCTTTTTTGGGTGTTTGGTGCCATTTGAGTGGAGGCCACGTGGCTTTTTCCTGCCACGCTCCTTTCTTTATCCTGCTGCCCAGAAATCCTGTGATCCCAGGGCAGCTCCTGCTAATGAGGCGTGGAAATGAGCAGAGGTTTTCCTGGGGAGGAGGAGAGCAGGGAACGGGAATAATTGGGAAGTTGGAGAGGATGGAGATTTGCTTCCAGTGAAACGGGATGGGAATGGAAGAAGGAAAAGGTTTGGAATGGAGGGAACAGGGAAAAGGTTTGGAGTAGTGAAGATGCTGCTTGGAAAAAGCAGGGAATTTGGGAGCCCACCCCTAAAACTCTTAATTAACCCCCCCCAAGGATTAATCCAGAGGAACTCTGCTCGCTGCTCCCCAGGGGAAAATAAAACCTGGCTCTCCCTGTGGCTCCCAGGTGTGCTTTCACCTGGCTGCTCTTACAGGGAATTTGTCTTTTTCTCTGGAAAAAAGTATGAAAAATAAGCCTGCAGCCCCTGATTTGATCTGTGGCACCAGTTCTGGTGTGCTCAGGTGTTTGCAGGGTGAGTAACTCCAGCAGAGACAGCAGCTCCCTGTGCCACACAACAAAATGTGGAGTTTTTCCAGCCTGCAGGAAGTTGTGCTGGTTAATTTTAATGCATTTTATCTATTTTTAAAATGTCCTGGGTTAACAAATCTGAATTTCTGTAACCTGCAGGGACAAAGCTCTGTTCGAATGTGAGTTTGTAGCAGGAGGTTGTGTTGTGGTTTTGGGGTTTGTTTTGTTTGGGTGTTTGCTTTTTTGCCTTTGTTTTTCCTTTCTAGAATTAAATGAGTAAAACAAAAACAGTGAAAACT